TACTAGCATGCCACCATACAGAATGCAATGTCAATGGTTCCATGATTTTATTCTTGGATTTTGTCACTATAGCTCTATTTTCAGCAACGAAAATTACATTTTTAGCCCTATTGCTAGCCCCAGTGATTTGTTTTATATATATATATATATATTTTTTATTTTATTTTTTTGAGACAGAGTCTCGCTCTGTGCCCCAGGCTGGAGTGCAGTGGCGCAATCTCGGCTCACTGCAAGCTCCGCCTCCCGGGTTCACGCCATTCTCCTGCCTCAGCCTCCTGAGTAGCTGGGACTACAGGCGCCCGCCACCACGCCCGGCTAATTTTTTGTATTTTTAATAGAGACGGGGTTTCACCGTGGTCTCGATCTCCTGACCTTGTGATCCGCTTGCCTCGGCCTCCCAAAGTGCTGGGATTACAGGCGTGAGCCACCGCACCCGGCCTGTTATATATTTCTTACTTGCATTTAAGACATCCACTACTATGTGAGAATTTCCAAACCAAAAGGTCAGAATGATGTTTTCTTCACCTATAAACCTAAGGAAAATGGAGGTATTCTTTTTCTCTCTTTCTTCCTTGTTTTCCCCTCTCTCTCATCCTAGGGGCCATGAATCTCAATGACAAACAAAAGCGACTGAAAAGTAGATGAAAGAAAAGGCTTTAAATTATTTGGTCTCTTCTACTAGCCATGTTATTTTTGCACAGTCAGAAATGCTTTTTTTTTTTTAGTATTAAAAACATACCTATTCATCAGCCAAAGCTGTAGCAGCCAGAAAGTACTACAACTCACAGACTGCAAAATATTATATCAAAAGTATATTAGTCAAATAGAATTTTCATCAGCTAGTTGCTTTACCCAAAACAAATACATTGTTCAATAAAACACTAAAGGAAATTATTTTCTAAGCACAAGTGATGACGCAGTGTGGTTCTGTGAAAGCCCTTTACTGTCTTACTGCGCTATGTATCCGCAAGCTCCACCTATGCAAACATGAAAATCAATGTAACAATTCAGTGTACAAGGCAAGGCCTACGGTGCTGCTAATGTCCCCTTGCTGGACACACACCTTAAGTCTCAGAGCTCTCAAGGGGTTTGCTGTGGAATAAAATTAGATTCCAACATCTGCCACCATTAAGGAAAAAATTCCATTTCCATCTCCCATATGAAAACACTATAACCAATGAACAGTAACTGAACCTTGATACTGTGATGGTTATTACCCAAATCAACTATTTTTTTTTAAACAGTAAAATTAGCAAATTCTGCTCTCATAATTATTTGAATGTTATCAGACTAAATGTTTGATAAAATTCCAATATGATTCACTTGGAAAAACTGCTGCTTATTTGAATACCCAGAATATAAAGTGTATTCATTTGTAGCTATTCACATTATGTTTAAAGCATATCATCTTTTTAAAGTTTGCATTAGCCTGCTTTCCTAACCAAGCACAAAAAGTAGCCTACCTTCAGTTTTTACTTGCATATTTTATTCAGACATTTCTATTAGAGTTAAAAACAATTCCATATCTATTATTCATTGAAGAGAAGAGACAATACATGTGAAATGGCGGAATCCACATGAGTTGGTTTCTTTTACAGAAAATACTCTGTGCATTAGTCACTACAGAGCACGCTTTACCTTTTAAAATTGAAGGTATTTATGATACACAAATACATGATAAATAAATCTCTTATCCATGTGGAGGACTGAACCTCTTGCTTAGCACATTATGAAACATTACCATTTGGGTACACTGCTATATAATTTAAAAGTTCTAGCATGTGCCTTCTATGTTAAAATAATCCTGGGCTAAAAAGTTAAAATTTCCCAATATTATAGCACCTATGACACAATCTGGATCAGAGCTGACCTCCTTTGACTCCTCCACCCTGTACACCCACCTCCATAAAGTATGATAGAGCCTGGATTCTGAAGGCTCTGTGTAAGAACCTTGTGTGGTAAGAACCTTGTGTTCCACGAACATGTCAGTGAAGAAAGGAAAGCCCTCACTGTCTGCACTATCAATAAGACCACTGTCCCTAATCCCTCTTCCCCAGATCAGGGTAGTACTTCAGTGATGACGATGCTGCCTTGAACCCTAAAGACAGTCTAAAATAGGAGAAATGAAGAGAATTTGGAGTTGGCTGTACATTTATTAGTTAAGAAACTCTCATGTGTGAAATTAAGAAAATAATAGCTCACAGGGTTACTAAATTAATGCAGATAATCTATAATGTATGATAGGGTCTAGCACAAAGAACATGATGATTAAGTCAACCCAGACAACCAGGGCAAGACACAGAAGCAGAGGTAGATGGGCTGAGACAGAAGAGACTCTGGTTCTTCTGGCTTCACACACATTTTGTCTTGGGGAACTGCTGCCTCATTTTGGCAAGCCCTGGCACACATCTGAGGTCTAAATATCTATTTTAGAAGTGCAACATTTTGACCATTAAAAATGTCAGTCTGATTTGAAGTTTTTGTTGTTGTTGTTAGTTTTTCTGTTTCCTTCACAAAACATCATAGCATGAGAACAGAACCTAAGCAAACGGCCACTTTTTCTTATTAAATCGGGTTTGTTAGTGATATACACAGGTTTAGGACTAATTTTTGAAGCAATCATCAATCTTTCAACATATTTTCATAAACAGGGTAGTGCTAACATTAAACTGAACAACTAAGACAAGACTACAAAAATGCTGTACTAGGACGTTAGAGTAAATCAGAAGTTGAGAATAACTATCCAAGGGAATAAAGTTAATAGTTTGCTTGATTCCCATGAGTCATCAGCTAAAAGCTTTGGGGGTTTTGGGAAACACACCATCACAGAAGATGCTTGGAATTTGCTTATTTACAGTGCTGACACAGAGACCCATAAGGAGCTGTGTAGGACCGGGTACAAAGAGCAGGGTTGTTTAAAACGGCTTAGAACATCACCTGCATGACATTATTAGCCAATTGCTGCTACTGTCCAAATAGCTCCAAAATCAGTACCCAGCCCAGGTTGGGGAGAACCTGGGGTATCATTTAAAAGGATGAAGTCAAAGATAGCAAAGGAACTATGAATCAAAAGGAATCAGAAAGGAAAATGATGGCAGGGGGTGGGGGTAGATTGAATTAAATGACAGGTGATAGACAACTAAATATGGTTATTAAGAAGTTATAATATTAATTTTTGTTTTAAAGCTAACCTTTACTATAATGATACATGTCCAGTTTCTCCATTTTGGAGATTTAGGGAAAGTGGCTTTTGTAGAAATGCAGTCTGATTATTACTGATGATTGGACAGGTCAGGAAAAAAAATGTAGAATCAGAAAGAAAGGCAAGATAATATATATTTAAATATGAGATCCTCATCATAATTAGGCTAAAGAGCCAAAACAAGAATGTGTGGGGTGAGCAAGTAGGTGGGGGGGTAAAGTGAGACCAGGACATTTCTCTTTAACGCATAGTCTTGGCATGTAAATGAAGACATCGGAAGAAGCACACAGGTTTAAAGCGGCTCTAACATTCTATCATAATTAGAAACATTTCAAGAGCCCTGTAATTTCCAATCAAAATTACAGTAATTTCCGATATACAAGCCATGATTCATGACAGAATTTTACATTCCATGAGAGATTACGGTGGCCTGATGTATGACACGCTGAGTACAGCACTAACATAAACAATTCAGTTTAATGTTTAAACAGCACTTGATGTTTAGAATCTCACAATAAAAGAAACATATTATTGTAGAAATTATCACTTTGACAGTGATTGAAGGGTAGGCAGGCATGTGGCCTATAAAGCTATAATTTTTACAGTCCACAGCTTGAGTTTAATCATTTTTATATAACATTTCCAAGATATCCCTTAAGTATTTCATCAAGCCTATAACTTAAACAAGAACAACATTCTTCTAAAGCAAAACTCCTGTCAAGTAACACTATAAATGTCGATAGGGTAAAACTTTAGGAAAATCTGAAAAGATTATTACGTTACAAATATATCGTATTATAAATACTCCCACAATTGTGTATTTTATCAGAAGTTGACAACAGCCAGGCTTTTTTAGGATTCATTAATGATAATGAAAATACACTTGTGTAAAATTTCAAGTTGTTAAAATCTTACCTGGAGTCCCTATTTGCCTCTAAATCTCACCTTGATAGTGTTATCAAATCCTTTTTCAAAGGGGAAAAGAGTTTAGTGTTCTTCTGGTCCTTTAAAAAGTATTCTTGGCTTTGGAGAAGGGTTTATAGATAACTAAGTTTGTTCATGTAGATGATTCCACTTCTGATGAATATGAATTATTAATATATGACAATTATCCTGATAAAAGACTATACAATCCATCCTTTTTTATTTAGTTTGGTAGAAATTTACAACTTTTCCAATTCAAGTCTATTCAGCTGTAATTCAGAGTTGGACAACTTGTAACCAATCTGTGTGTCTTGTATATTCCACAGAAAAATTAAAATCATTAATATGCAAAGAGGTATGTCTGTGTGTGTCAGTTTGTCTTAATAAGTGTATTTAATAGTTGCAGACAGCTGAGTTGAGAGGCAACTATTCTCACCACTAGTCCACCAATGTCACATTAGATGGCTGAATTGGAACAGAGCAAACTGTATAAAGCTTTGTAGCATTTTAGTAGGAAAAAACATCAAGATCATCTAAGCAATAATGAAATAATAGTAATTCAGGTTATTTATTCTATACAATAGACCAGACTGAGAAACTGACTATCCATTATGATATCCTTCTGAAAATACCTATTAACTGACTTGGGGATTTACCGTAAAATCCTTGGTCTGGGGAGTGGCTACTGGAAAAAAAAATACCAAGTGCCTATAACCTGAATTTGAATATTGTTTCATTTTAGAGCTCTGGAAATAATCCTAGACATAGAGGCCTCTCCGTGATGCAAGTTCATATTGAAAATAGACACTCCTTTTAATGAAAATTCCACAGGCAACACAGATAAACGTTCTCAATGCCTAACAGAGGCTCTTACCTGGCTTTTGGTTGCTGCAACCTTTGCAAACAGTGCTTGAGACACTTTAGCGCGCTTCATTTCCTGCTGAATCTCATCATAAATGGAAGCATTAATGTTCATGGTATTGTTCTCTGGTTTCCCATTCCTCTCAGTGGCAATAGTAGCTGTTTTCACCTACAAAACATTTTGAACATGGCTGTCATTTTTCATTGGCTAAATTGTTTTGAAGCTTCTCAGGCTCAGCATCCAAACTGGACACTGTTGCTCCTTTTATGATCAAGGTGATCAACAGTGTAGTCATTCAACATTAGTTATTGCCCTGAGATCAGATTGCTTAAGTTAAGGAAGTCACACTGTCACAGGTGATTGCATCTGTAATATGACAGCAACTGCCAGCTGACAACCAGGAATTATAACGCCATAAAGTAAGTTTTCTGGAAAACGAAATAGTTTCAAAGACTTGAAAACCCTAAACTAATTGTCTCCCAATTACCTTCCATTGCAATCCTAACAAAAGAAATTCACAATTAAAATCATAATGCACAGTGCTGTATCTTCACTGGGTGCCCGGTGCCTAATAGACAATTGCATCACTAATAGCTATTACATACTATGGCCTCTTTAATTTTAGACTATTTTTATGCATTTTCCTCTTATGTTTCATTTTAAAAATCTTCCATAACAAAGCCATTTGCAGAACTGCATATTTAAATCTTCTATCCATCCATGAAGCAGGTAGAATGCCTTGCTTAATTATCGTAAAGGCTGGTTGCATTTTACACGTGCATGTCCAAGCTGTTCTGTGTAATTATTTCATCTTTTCCAGGCACCCCTGTATATAACTATTTCCTTTTGACTTGCGAAACCACTCAATAAGATAATGCTTCACAATATTTAATAAAATATTACTGTAAGCATCACAAAATATATAATCAGTGACTTTACTAATATATTCAAAAAGTACAATCTTGAGCGAAAAGTCACTATCAATGCCTTTAGAAATAGTGATAAGCAGGTATGTGCAGTAAAATGCCACAAAATTTTAGAAGGTGAAATCAAATCTCAACTTCAAAATGTACTGACACTATTACTCATTTTTAAAACTCCAAATTTATTTTTTATTACACAGTAGTATGAACTAGCCTGGAAAATTTACATAAAAACCATGTAGCTGATTTTTTACTGGGAAACTGATGAAAATATAAATGAAAAATTACTACAGATACAAAACCATGGTTCTTCCAGCAAACTAATCCCTTAAGGACCTCATCTCTTTGGTTACCTAGCAGAACCCAGGTTTCTATCCTCTAGAAACTTATCATTCTGGACAATTTCTCACATAAACCATGAAAATAGAAAATGAAGTACCCTGTAGAATAAACAAACGATTTTTTTTTTTTGGCATTAAATGATATAGCCTTTGAGTCAAGCTGCAGGACTTTGAGATTTATTTTACTCTGTTCCTAAAATATTCGGTGATTCAATTCTCCGTACTTAAAGCACAAATAGGAGACCTCTTTAAAATGTGCCTGCTGAATCCTAAGTTCTGGCCAATTAGCAAAATAATTCACCTCTTGCTTATCTTGAGAAAGTTGGTAGAGGCTTCCACCACGATACCACCTTTCCAAGCATGGAAAAGATAATGCTGGGAAATAGTTGGCCCGCAGGCCTGAAGAGGACACAGCAGGTAAGGCAGGACAGGTGACCAAAGGTGGGGCCTCATCCGCTTCCTCTCTAGAGTTCCCCTCCTAGCTTTGCCACTCTAGTAAGCAAGGGCACTCATAGAGATATATTAATGACTGGAGGCCACTAGAACACATACAGGGCTTTGAAGCAATAATCTGCTAAACACCACTTTAAGAGCCAGAAGAGTTAACGCATTATCATAAATTGCCTACAAAGTTGCTTTGGTGAGATTGGAAACTTTGCTCTGGGGTGGTCTTGCTTTGAGGCAGAGGGATAGATTTGATCACCCCATGGGGTCCCTTTTAATACCTATTTTTCCTCACTGCTTAAATGAAAGGGAAAAGAAAAGCCATTTCAATCATTTTGAAAATTGAATGTTATGGAAATGGGGGCACCAAGTCCAGTGCACTGAAGAAACATATCCTTGGTAGCAATCTGCTAAGCAATAGTTAAAAGAACAGACTTTGGAAAGTTGGTCTTTCGATCTGTTTTTACAATAATTTTCATTATTTTGTAAAAAGAATGTTTAAGAATTTATCTTTGAGGTGTGTTATAATCATTTGTTTCAACCCTGTGACTTTGTTTCTAAAAACTTCTTTGGTTAATTTTTTTTTTTTTTACTATAAAGCAATTACAATCAAGCACCAATTCTAAATTATTTTAAAAAATCATTTCCTAGTAGCCAACACAATCAAAAGTGAAAAAGAAGTATATAAGAAATGTTTTTTTTTTTTTAATGAATGTGAGGGTGAAACTTTAATGATTACAAAATTAGAAAGTATCTCTGTATTACTCACTTTAAAATATTTAGGAAAGCTCTTCTTTACCATCTAGTTGGCCCAGATAGGCATCTTATAATAGATAAGCTATTAGAATTCTAGAACCACATTTTTTTCCTAAACACAAGCTATTGCTTAAGGGAAACTGACTTGGACAGCTTTTCAGAAATATGAAAGCTGAATTTTTCCCCAGGTAAAAATGGAAACAAAAATCTTTTATACCTCACTCTACTAAGTACTATTTTAGCTCAGTACAAAAAAAATCTTCTTTAATCCTGGTTTAGCTTTTAATATTATATCACACATTAAAATTCATAAAGTAGTTCATTCCAGGCAAAACAAACTACTGTTCAGCTCTTCTCCGCAAATAGCACAGGAGGTAAAATAAATGCAGTTGCTTTCAGAATAGCTTTTATCAAGGTAGGGTGTACTACTCCATTATTAAGGTGGCGCCGGGGAAGTAGTTAAGAATTGGAGCTTCTACTATTTACCCTCCCATGTGGGGATAGGGTGCAGCACTAGGGTCTGCTTTTTATTTCACTAAAATTGTGTGGCAGGACACAAATTTTCCATGAAAACTCTATTTTGCTTCTTCATGGATTGCTAAATGCATCAAATCATACTTTTAGATTACAGAAAATGAACTCTACTTTGGCCTTGATTGATGAACATCCTACTTTGATAGATGAGGAATTGCCTGCAAGCACACTGCTTTTACACAAACAAAATTAAAGTTATATGTAGTTTTTTTTTTTGTTTTTTTTTTTTGTTTTTTGTTTTTTTGTTTTTGAGACGGAGTCTCGCTCTGTCGCCCAGGCAGGAGTGCAGTGGCCGGATCTTGGCTCACTGCAAGCTCCGCCTCCCGGGTTCACGCCATTCTCCTGCCTCAGCCTCCCGTGTAGCTGGGACTACAGGCGCCCACCACCTCGCCCGGCTAGTTTTTTGTATTTTTTAGTAGAGACGGGGTTTCACCGTGTTAGCCAGGATGGTCTTGATCTCCTGACCTCGTGATCCGCCCGTCTCGGCCTCCCAAAGTGCTGGGATTACAGGCTTGAGCCACCGCGCCCAGCCTATATGTAGTTTTAATAATGGTGATAATAAACACTGACATTTATTAGTTGTTTATTATGTGCTGGACGTTGTATTAATGTATGTTAACTTCTTAACTTGCCTAGCAGCCTGGAGGAGGTATTATGATTGTCCCATCTTAAAATTGAGAAAACTCTGTTAAATCAAACATGTTAAACAATTTGTTGGTAGGGCGATGCTGAGATCTAAACTTAACTAGAAACCACAGTTATTTAGAGTTCATGACATTACATGCACCTTCTTTACTTGAAAAAATTCTTAATTTTTAGAGCAGGCTGGACTTGCTTTTTGGTGGTCCTTTGATAAATCTAGCTCATTAATGTCTAATTTTTTAATAGCTATTGATTTTAATATTAAAATCCAATCTGAATTTATTTTCAGGGTATAAAAATTATGTTTTCTTATTAATGAAAATAAGAAATATCCTATTTTATGGATGCTTATTAGTGATGGAAAATATTTCCCACTCTCGAACTTTATTAACACTGTCTTTAGCACCATGATTTAACACTTGTAGATATTTGTTTCTTTCCAGGAACAGTATTATTTTCCAAATCGAGACTTTAAAAGTCTCCCAGTTTTTAAAAGATGACAATTAATGGAATGCATTTTCTATCTACATAAGCAATATCTTAAAATGATCTTCAAGGGATTCATAAGAAATAAAACTTTTTTACCAAGTGTTAAGTTCCTGCCTGTAACTGAACCTGAGATCAAGATGAACCTATGTTTCATTATATCATAGAGGGATTTCTTGTAAAGAGAACAGTGCAACTACCAGATTAATTATATACTCTTTATATTAACTTCATAAATTGTCTAAAGCATTGTTATAAAATAGCACACCTTTAGTAGAAACTAAAGAATTACATAAAGAGATGTAAAAAATGAAGAAAAGAAGACTTGTGTAATTCATGTAAAAGCTGTAACTCGATAATTATATGCTTTCAAACAGCCTTCATGGAAACAAACTGCTAAATTAATTTAACTCCAAAAGTCACACATAGTAAAATGTACAAACAAAATAAAAAAAAAATACTCCTACGGTAGAAATCATCACTTAAAATTCTGTAAAATATATAATTCTCAGATAATAATGATGAATTATCATTGTTGATAAAATTCCTATAATAAACTCAGGAAAATTTGCAAAGCTTATAGTGAAAAGAAACCTTAAGACCAAGGAACATGGGAGGACTGGGTTCTCCCAGATATTTTCATAAGACCAAAATTTAAAACAGGCCGTTTTCCCCACAATCCCAGAAATGCCATTGCCTCGCCTTCCCAAGTAGATAATTTGTGAAACAAGTTATTTTATTAGGACAATGCTTTCGCACATGCTCCTCTTCCTATTCTAACAATAAAACCTCCCATCCTCTATGACAAACAAAAAGATCTCCAAGTTTCACTTTTCCCTTTCTAAAATAAGTTTGCTTGTATTCTGAGGATGTGGCTTGAAGTAGAGGAAGGAGCAAGAGACTTAGCAGAGGATTTGAAAACTGACTAAACCTTAAACTTGGTTTTCTCATTTTTCTTCTAGCAAAAGGTTGGTATGAAGATTCAATGAACTGATGTATTCAGTTGCTTTCAGAATGGCTTTTATCAAGTTAGGGTGTGAATCATTATCAGGTGCAAGATATTCTTATTTGTCAAATTAGAGCATGTAAGTTGCAAAAATATGCTTGCAGAAACCAGGTCTGGCCCAGAGCCTATAGCCCAGGCAGAGGATGAAGCACAGGGCATAACTGCCCCTCCTGGAGCACAAGGGATACCTCTGCAGGGAGGCATCTCACCTGGATCAGGCCACCAAGGAGCTTGGTGTTTCCTGAGGCTAGATGTCCCCAGGTGGGGCCTGACTAGCCAGGGAAGTCCTTTCTTGAAGATGACTTAGAATTCAAGTCCCTCAATACTTTAGGTCCTTCTTATGGTATGCCCCAAGGGCACTCCAAAATCATCTTCTGTATGTTTTACACTCTGTAAGGAGCTGGAAGAGAATCCAGTTTCTCAGGCCTTAATGGGGGCTGGGTCTTCTGTGAACCACTGAGGGCCTCTGCTTTTAACATGTGGTTCTTTAGAAAGAAATCAGGTTTCAGGTGCAACCCAAACCCAAGATTTGTCTCAAAATATGTTTCAAATCTCTTCATTTTGGGGGAAATGGAATGTATACTGATTTCACATGGACTCCTCTTTGGCAAAATGTAAAATTTAAAAAGACAAAATTTTGCTGTCTGTTTATCTGTGGTTTTCTCCATTTTATCCTTTATTTTAAATCATTTTAAATATGCATACTGGTTCCAGTTTAGGCATTATTTCATTATGTCGACTGCTGCTACCAGACAGTACTAATTCAAGCACTTGAATTAGTTTATAACGTGTTTTTCCAAATCTAAAGTACTAATTTTGCATTGATAATACCTTTAATACCTTAAGAATTTCTTAAAATTTAATTCCCTGAATCATGGTTAAACAGAAGAATGTGAACAAACTGGTAGTGATCTCCATTATAATAATATTAATAATTTAAAGATTTATATTGTAGCAACAAAATAAAATTACACACACCCATACACATGTCAGTTAATCATTTTGGAGTTTGGTTATAGATAGTAATACTGCATTAATAGAAATGTTTTATTTTAAAGAGTTTCACTAAGCATCTACAGTATGTATATACTGTATATTTTCATCACTGGCTGAATACCCTAACTATGGGCTTGGTCTCAACTCCTCTTTAGAACAAACAAATACAGCTAAGGGTGGCTCAACCAGTTAACCAATAATTCAGGCAAAAATAAATCAAACATATATTCTATCCCAACTTATCAGCAGATAAAGCCTTTAAGCATACATATGGGAAAGTTATCCCATAGTAATTTAACAGCATATGAAAAGAAATATCACTTAATAAGAAATTGGTATAACTTTAGCTCAAGAAAAAACTTGAGTAAGGATACCAAAATCACATTTAGAAAGTAAGTAAAATCATAGAGTCCTAGAAAAATGAGGAAACAAAAGCTGTATTAAGGAACCACAAAAATCAAGTATCTGGCTAGATTTTTTTTTTTTTAAAGCAGTTCAATATTGAAGTTCATATTGGTCTTAAGTAAGCCATTCTTTTATTAGTATTGCAGATTAAGTAACAAGTAAAGTAATTCTCTGCTCAGAGTCCTGCCAGTGATGACTTTAGGAGCAAAGTTAACTAATAGAAGTGTGTGTATTAACACTAAACACTACAGAAAAAGTACCAAACCAAATTATTTCATTTCGTACATTTTTTCTCTTTAATCATTCCTAGAAGTCACAGTTTATCTTTTCTCTTTAACCATTCTTAGAAGTCATATTTTTTATATGTAACGAGTTCCTCATTCTTTATCTTAGGAAATATTTTATAGAAGCATTTAGAGATCAAATTCAGTAACTGTGTGTGCATGGGCAGGTGGGTGTGTACATATGTATATAGAGCCATGCTTTTCTCCTAAAGAAGCATGGCTTTTTTATTCACAATTATAGCAATGATTTCCTTATAGTCTGTTCCTATAGACATCAAGACCAGATTGATTTTCATTAAATAAAATAGTGAAAATGGATTTTGTGACATTTCTAAAAAAAATTGTTTCAGAACCTTATGATAAGCAGTTTATTATTTAGCCACTCAACAAGTGGCTAAATATTTATTTCTTACTTATGGAGTATCTGTAGTACTTTCAGTCTTTAGTGCTGAATGAGCTTTTTCTAGATTTCTATACATGAAAATGTATGACTACTTTCTACTATTGATGAGAATAAAGTAACATCAAGATACAATTTCACTATGACATTGTCATACGAATATTTTGACTTACTCTTCCATGTTCAATTTTTATCCAATTTTAGCTGACCTTATTTTTAAGAGCTGTAAATGTCACAAGTTAAACATGTAAGAAAATACATTTGCAGCCAGGCACGGTGGCTCACGCCTGTAATCCCAGCACTTTGGGAGGCCGAGGCAGGTGGATCATGAGATCAGGAGATTGAGACCATCCTGGCTAACATAGTGAAACCCTGTCTCTACTAAAAATACAAAAAAATTAGCTGGGTGTGGTGGTAGGTGCCTGCGGTCTCAGCTACTTGGGAGGCTGAGGCAGGAGAATGGCGTGAACCCGGAGAGGCAGAGCTTGCAGTGAGTGAAGATCACGCCACTGCACTCCAGCCTGGATAACAGAGTGAGACCCCGTCTCAAAAAAAAAAAAAAAAAAGAAAAGGAAAAAAAAATTGCTTGTGATTTTTGAGTCTAATACACTAACTAGCAAATTTTTATCTAAGGATTTGTAATGCAAATTGATTTACTGAATTATAACAGTTATGAGGTTACTTTTTAAACTTAGTTTAAAAAACAATACAGATTCACATACCCAAAGTTACCTGGAAGGCAACTTTCTTTCCTAAAACTCCAAAAATTTAAAGAAAGAGAAAACATGCCCATATTTTGGAATATGGATAGAATTCCTTATCAGCCCCATTTAAAGCTGCCTTCAAGGATTTTATTAAACTTAATTATGAAAGATTACAAATGAGATGGTGTGTAATTGGTACCAGCTGCAGTTCGTATTGGAAAGTATAAATACAAATGAAATTATTTATTTTTATTTACTATTCAAATGGCGATTCTAAAACTAGTTGGGAAAAAACTGACTTTATTCTTTTTCTATTGAGTTTAAAATACTTCTTTACTTAATAACAACAGTAGAGACAAATATCCCATTTAAAGACTACTTTCACCCCCAAATAACCCCAAGAATGAAGGAACACAAAGCAATTTTCTTCCTTCTATCTAATTAGCAGCTTATTGTTTTTATATGAGAATTAATGATTTGGGACCAAATTCTCCTCAAGCAACTATAGGAATTTAAAAACATCTAAATCAATCTATCTATCTATCTATCTATCTATCTATCTATCTATCTATCTATCGAATTTCTTATTGAGATTCTTCCTTAAGCATTAAAAAAAAGTGCTAAACAAAGAAGGGCAAGGAGGCAAAGGAGACTGCACCTGGGGAGGGCGGCTGGGTGGTGTGCTTATCAGGGGGGCGGGACCCATGGCTGAGGCAGCATTCAAGCTCCTTTCCCTTTCGTCCTGGTATATTCGGTCTCTTTCAGCTTCCGGTAACTGCAAGAAATTCTGCATAGCCCGGAGGTTTACCAGCAAAGACTGGGATGCAGTCTTGGGGTCCTCTTCCTTTCGGAGGATTTCTGAAAGCAAGCCCTGCAAGAAATGAAAGGCACAGGGTGAGCCTGCTCCCGTGCTCTGCTTGGCCAGCAGTGATCCTTCCCTTTTCTTCTCCACTCTGTTTAGAAAATGAACAGTCAGAGGCATTAATTCTGCATAGGAATATATTAGTTACAATTGAAGTGGTAGAGAAGAGAGCCTCAATTGTATTCTTAATTTTATTAAGCATCTGCTTTACATATAACATAAACTGAAACTGCCTAATTGGTCTCCTGCCTTTGAGTAGCTTAACTTGCCATGAAATCTTTCACAGAGAGACGATCCAGGGAAGTTAAGAATAAATGAAATCCTCATAATGCAACAGCATTGAACTGTATAGTTCTCAAGCTGCCTAGACAAAGGCAGTGTAATGCCCACAGTCCAATATGTAAAGATACAAAGCCATTCCTAGAGAAGTAGATCTTTCAAAGAAAATACCAGAAAATGAATTTTAACATATTAGAACAAAGGTTATTACTAAAGCATCACCTAAGGTTTATACTGTATTTTCACAGGCAATGTTTAAAATTATTCCTTAAACTCCAACTTATCAAAGTACATGACACTAGATGACCCTTTCAATTTACCATTTACAGACAACCTCACTGACTATCACAAATGATTCTAAATACTATCCTGCTGTATTATACCACTGGGTAACAGGTTTACATTTTGAACTTTAAAAACCAGAGATAAGAATCGAAATATATTAACCACTTTTCAACATTGTGAAAATCCATCATAGCATGCCAAGGAAGAGAGTATCAAATTCTGTAATTATCAAATTTCTTGGGGAATAAAAATTGTTATTAGTGATAGAAGAAATTTATAAACCATTAGAAAACTCTTAAGGTGTCTTTACGCCCTAAATAACAGAACATCAATTTTCAACTAATTTTTTTAACTTTTGGAAGAACTCTTCCAAAAATGGGTGGTTCTCCCCATTGCGTTTATGGGACAATATGAAACAAAAGTATTGGAAAAATTTTTTGTTCATTTCATAAGGGCTAAGCAGCCCTTCTTTCTTTAACTTGTACATGAAATAATGCTTGGAATAGTAAGACATATTTGGTTTCTTCACTTAGCAGAATATCAGCTTCAGAATAAAATTTTGTCAAGATTTCTTTTTTTTTTTTTTTTTTGAGACAGAGTCTCGCTTAGTCGCCCAGGCTGGAGTGCAGTGGCGCGATCTCGGCTCACTGCAAGCTCTGCCTCCCGGGTTCACGCCATTCTCCTGCCTCAGCCTCCCGAGTAGCTGGGACTACAGGCGTCCGCCGCCTCGCCCGGCTAATTTCTTGCATTTTTAGTAGAGACGGAGTTTCACCGTGTTAGCCAGGATGGTCTCGATCTCCTGACCTCGGGATCCGCCCGTCTCGGCCTCCCAAAGTGCTGGGATTACAGGCGTGAGCCACCGCGCCCGGCCTCAAGATTTCTATAGAAGTTGCAAATCTGCTTTCCAATTATGCAGAAACGGTTAAAGGTATATTGGGGAAAGAAGGTAACGTGTCATGTCAAAACAATGAAACCCCAAGGTTAAAACATTTGTTTTTTTCATGGTTTATTAGAAGTACAAACCTGGTTTTGTTCCCAGATTTAATGTACCATACTGCCTAAATGTAACAGTTGGGTGCAGACAATACAAAAGTACTGATACTTCTTAAAATGATTTATAAGCTGGTATTTAAGAAGAACTTTAAATATGTGCAGAGTGCTTCAGAGTCCACTTTAAAGTTGTCTCTCACTTAGTCTCTTACAGCTAAAGCCTGGAAATTGGACCTGAACTTTCGGTTTTACCCTAAGAAATGTGACTGAAGAATGAAGGGCACATGTGCTTTTACTTAGGATACTAATGAGTAATGCTGTAACTGTGTCTACACAAGAGCAAAACATCTAGTCAATTTAACTAAAATTCAGTCAAATAGGCAGTCAATCATCCAGCTATTTAATTTGCACAAGGCCAACTAATTAGTTTGACTATATTTCTGTTGTCTCTTATTGAAAGTAAAACATTCAGGTCTCAAAAAAAAAAAAGTTTGAAAATAGGTGTAATGAAATAACCCTTGCTCTTTACTCCTCTCCACCAAATGTTATGTCTTAACAAATGTACTTGACAAAGCAATATATTCTCAACTACACAGATATGGATACATGCAAACATCAGTATAAACACAATATGCTACAAATTCCTTGAGCACAATAATCTAATATTCACTTTCATCATCCCAGCACAATGCCTCTCATGTAAACGTTTGATAAATATCTACTAAATGGACTGATCATGTGTATAAAGACCACAATGGAGAAAACAATCACAAATAGGTGATAGAAACTTAAGAATAAGATGTGTTACCTGTAAGTAAATTCTAGTGGTAGTTATTGGCACTCATGTTGGGCCTACAGTGAAAAGTTCTGTGGCATTTTGTGGGATGTTTTTCCCACAAACATAAAATTGTGTAATAATTTAAAAAATTAGGGCAAAAAGATAGTTACAAATATTTAGGATGTTATTTGGGAAGCTTGAAATTAGATACATAAATATCCCAAAAAACAAGTACTATATCATGTATTTCTATCAAAAATATTTCCTGAGGCAGCAGAAATCTATAGTGAGAAAGTCAAATACAGGAAAACATACAAAATAATATTCTTTCTCAAGTCTTGCTAACGTAAGGCTAAGTCATTTCCACATGGTTGAGACTGGAAGATGGTATGTCACCTGGGAGAAAATTTTAAAAGATCTCTACCTATATTTTGATGTTGGTGTGACTTCCTATTTGAGCATACACGTGTTTTTAGGGGCAAAACATTTTACTTCCACTTAATTATTCTACTGGAACAAAGTTTTTTGTTTGTCTGAAATATGATGATGGTGTAAAGTGATGTTTCAAGCCCTGAAACACTCAAGGAGCTTTAAAGCAGCCAGTGTAGACAGTCTCAGGTGTTTCAGAAACCTTCGGGGTTTTTTTGGTTTTTTTTTTTTTTTTTTGGCCCAGAGCTTTCAATGAGGGGAGTGCCCCCTGGTGGAAATGCTTGAAAATATTGTCAGAAAACATTTTGATTAGTGATAATTACTTAAAAAAAAAAGTCACTTTAGAATAATTTTGGATGCAAAATGACTGTTATCAGATCCCAGATATGGGAATGCATGCTTTGGTCCTGTTCTGGTTGTTGTTACTTGAATAGCTGCATTCATATTTATATGCTGAACCAGTTCCCACTTCCTATAATTGAAGATATAGTACAGACTTGCCAAGGTCATTTGTATTAATGCCCCACATAGTGGACGGTAAGAGCAACCTTTTACCAAAAATTTTTCATGCTAAAAAATAGTATGCCAAGGCCATCATGTACCTTACTTATTATGTCACAGAATATGCTGAAACATCAGAACTAAAATATGTCATCAGTATCAAGAATCATTGGTGCTCAATAAATTTGTTGAAATAAATTAAACAAAATCATTAGTCATTCTTATGTCTGAAAAGAACCTGAGAACTTGTATGTTATGTAGGACGTTACCAGTACCTCATAAATATTAATTTTATTGAAAATCAGAAGCTGCCTTTCATTGGGACTTCACATCTTACCAATAATTAGATGTGAGCTGTATCTATGAAAACATAAAATTATTTTGCATTGTCATTACATAGTGGTTAAGTCAGAGTTCTAATTTTTTCAACTAAAGAATGAATTTACTGCTGAATTCCTAAACCTGTTTTTACACTCCAAAAACAGTTTACAAGTCATTACAAGTAAAATTCATTAGTAGTTGTAAAATAAAGAAAAAACCTCCAATAAATATTATCAGTATTTCCAAAAGCTAATTATGAATTCTTTAAAACAGCAGATAAGCGAAAGAGACTGCCAATCTGAACAAAAGGCCTGTCTGGCCTCCCGTTTGTCTCCTCTTTGAACATAATCACTGATTCAAATAGATTTTATCAGCTTCATGGAACTTCAAAGCCCTCAGAAAGAAAATATGATTTGATGAAACCTCCCTCCTAAAAAGAAAATACATAGAATATTCTTCAAGGCTACCTGCCTCTATTGTTTGGTGAATTTTTAATCACATGTCCAGGTAAAAGACTATTTTCAAACTCCACCTACTACCATGGACTCATGCCAAGTAAGTTTTAGTAGATACATTTATCTCTGTTGTTTGGCAGACCAGAGAACTGTCATATTTGGGTAATAGCACCTTTTTACCTTTTATTCAATAGTGATATGGATAGTGGACTTTTCTTAAATTACACTGTGAAGAATTATAGAAACACAGTAGCAATTTCTGTTATACTAAAGCAGGCAAATTTCTCTCCACCACATAATTTACAGAACTCAAATTTAATAAAACATTACATGATGGTCCATTACTGTTATCAGTTTTGAATAATCCATCTTCATTCTTTATTTTACTGGAAAATAAAGTGTGCCAAAGACAAGAGGAGGGGGAAGAAAAAGGGGAAAAAAGCCACAGAGTGGGATCAGAGTTAAACTCTGGATTTTATTCTTTTAAAAAATCAAAGGATATTAAAGAAGGTATTCGCATGTGTCAGAATCATTAAATAGCAATAAGATAGAGAAGTGAATTGAAAAGTATAAATCTAGATGCTTTGGCAATTACTTTTAGCCATAGGTTTCCATTAAAAAGACATCAAAATAGACATAACTGAATGAATGACATACGCGAAAAGCTGGTATCTTCAACAGCAATTAAAGAACATATGCCCATCAATTCAGAAGGGGAAAAATTCCTTAAAACAAGTAGTTATATAAGTTTACCATAAATTTTCAGAAAAGGTAGGCTTAAAAAAATAGCCATGTGTGAAAGTCTTGAGAGGGTAATGTGTTAATATAGGGAACCCTATTAAGATGATGAGAAAATTCTCAAGAGTTAAAACATAAGACCCAGGATTTTAAAGTTATACAGAGCTGTCAATGACTAAAATAATCCTCAATTCATAAAAGTGTTATCTATCATATTAAGGTCTTAATGTTGTTTTTAAGGGACAGTGTTTTTATCTGACCCTATCATATAACTTTGTATTTGTATGTACATATTTTACATTAATTTTTTAAAAGTCAGAGTTGGAATTGCACATTGTACTAGGTGCACACAAATGTGTGATGTGCGATTTAACTCTGCAGAGCTCCTTGTCTATACATATGCATTAGCGTGTGTATTTTCGTACTCCACACTCACACCATACCCTCACTCTGCACCTGCTTTTATTGAAATGCATACACTTTGAAATAAACACACTACATCCAGTCGTACGAATGCATAATCATTAAAAAATAAATGCAGCTGTGTATGTATGTGTGGTTTTTAAGAATGACCAATGAAAATACATTCATGCCTGCATGTGCAAAAGCTAGTTCTCAAGGAATTAATATTGAAATATATATAAAAATTTCCTCTTAAGTCAAACATCTTCAATATGGCCCTATATCTACTTTGACTGAAGTGTATCAATTATCAATATAAAGCTTTAAAACCTCCTTCATAATCCAGGGCACTAAATATTTTTTTGGTAATGACTTCTTTTTCTAAATTGGCTATTATTAATAAGGAGGTATCTGTAATCAAGCTATACAAGGTTTTCATTCTCCTCTCACTCTCAGAAAAATAAAGTCACTGTTTTTATTAACCACAGAGATGATTACCTTTTCAAAGAGATTAACATGGTATAAAAGAGAAAATTTTGTCTTTCTTCCAGTAACAAATCCTGTAGATATTGTAGAATTTGTCCTTTTAAGGACCAAAGGCAGAAGAAATGGCCAACTCCTCATAGTAATGGCTATAACATCATAAACCCAAGAAAAGAAAAGCTGTAATGATGGGTGGCAACTTTATCCTCACTTCTCTGAGTTCTACTATCTTAGCATTCTTCACTATATAAAGGACACTTAGTGCTTTAAGAAATAACTATTTGCTCAATTTTTAAGACACCAGTAACTATATATATAAACATATATCCATATATATACACACACATATACACACACACATACATATACACACACACACATATATAATTTGTGTCTATGTCACGATGTCTTTGTGGGTTTTTAACTCAATTCAAAAAAGCATTATTGAACTGTTATGTAGAGACCTACTTTTTTTGGCCTAGTATGGAGAATTATTAGTACTTACAATATTTACTAAAATAAAGAATGCTACCAGAAACAGGAATACTTAGAGGGTTGACTTTTCATTCATTTTCAATAATTATCCCCCAACTGAATATAGGTGTCATACTAATTTTACCAGCTAATAATGAACACAGTTTCTTAAGCTATAAAGATATGGAACTAGGTAAAACCACACAACTTTAACCTGAGACATAGCCTTGTGCAACTGCCCTTTTAAAAAATAGACAAACATACCAAAAAAAAAAAAAAAAAAGATGAATCAACTGAAAACAAACACTGAATTAGAGGCTTTGTCAGGTCTCCTAACTCCCCATCTAGTTAAGGCAAGCCAAAAATAAGTCACAGCTGGGATTCTCCTAGGTATGGAAACTCTGCCAACTAGGAATTAATACTAGATTATTTCTGTACCAGAATTTTATTCTTATAATCATAATCATGTATTAAACAAAGTAACTTAAATATGAAAGGAAAATGGGAGTCACGCCAAAAAATAAGATAAATTGACAAAAGAACGAACAGCGGTAAAACAAAAAAGTTGAAAAGGCATAATGTCCTCATTCTAATTAAAGTTATGTGGTTTTTCATTTTTTTTTTGTTTGTTTGTTTTGGTTTGGTTTTTTGTTTTGTTTTGTTTTAGTGTACCTGGGCCAAAAATAAACACCATATATATAATGTATCATACTAGTTTCATCAGAACAAAGAAAAAAATTATTCTCATTCACAGTTCAACAGAATGCGTTTAGGGCTTCTCAAATATCTTTATCTTGTCACCGCTCATATACATCACTTTTTTCCCATGACCCTCTTAAACATCTTCCACGCTGATAGACAGTATCTTCACAGGAATTGGGCCAGGAAGACAAAGTTGTGCACATTAGGGGTATCAATAAGCAGGCAGTGAGGTCTCTACAAATGGGTCTGCAAACTAAGGCCTGCCAGCCACACTTACTCCATGGCCTGTTTTGTAAATAGTTTTACCGAGATACTACCATACTCGGTGCCATTCATTTATTGTCTGTGGCTGCTTTATTACTCTACAGTGTAACTGAGATTTTATGTGTTTCAAAACCTAAAATATTTACTATCTGGTCAATAACAGAATAAAGTTTGCTGATGCCTGGTCTAGACAATGAAGTTTGGAAGACAACAGCATGAGGGAGAGCACAAAGCTTACCAACATATTATGTTAATACATCATATAGTATTTTTTCAAAATGATTGCTTAGAATTAAGTGGATTATTGCTTCCAAGGTGTTAACAACGACGACGACGATGATGACAATGCTGTGGAACTTTAACAGGGAACATTTATATACCTAAGTTTGATATGGGCAGTAACGTAACATACATGGGAAAGACGATAGGCTAGAAGCCTGGAATCCTGCCAATGGCCTTGACCGAGTCATGAAACTTTTCTTATCTACTATAGTTTAAGATTCCATTATATAAAAGCACAAGTAATGCCAGTTTAAAACATGTTTGACATTTAATTAGTCTTTCAAAGCCCCTGAATTGGGATCAATCTGCACATAGGTTTCCCTTGATTCAGAAGTGTATCATAGGAAAAGGCATGATAAAATTGAGGCTCCACTAGGAATAGGTAATATGATCACATGGAGAGAGAGAGAAAATGTTAGTACAGAAGTAAAATAATAAACTTCAGTTATAGATGGGACTAAAGAGAGAGAAAAGAGGAGACAACACAGAACCATTTACCAAACACAACTGACCTGAGTTCTGTTAAAAGCCACACGTGCAAATACTGCCTGGGAGATTCCTGCTCGTTTCAGTTCATCGCGTACCCACTGGTAGATTTCGGAAGACACCTCTGTGTTGGTCGAAACCTGTTGCTCCAAAGGCTTATTCATAGATCTACTGACAGGGGGAGGGTGGTTCAAGTATTGTTGGTTTAAGGACTGCTGGGCTAAAAGTCTATTCACTGCATACTGCTGGTTCAGCAGCTGAGCCATCACCAGCTGCTGGTTGACCAACTGAGGACTGATAGGCGTTGATACAAGCCCAGGGTGCAGGTTTGGAAGAGGGGTCCGGACAGAGGGCTGGCTGCCATGGGAGAGCTGCGCAGGGGATGGAGGCTGCTCGGCTGTGTTCCCTGGAACTGGTTGCTGTCCAAAATTGACATGATTGGCGCCTTGCTGGGATAGCTCAGAAAGACTATCCATTTCAACTAAAGTGGACAAAAAGTAAAATCACATTTAGCCAGCAATGATTAGCATTGATAAAGATTTCTAATCACTTCCTAAATTAAAAAAGGGTAGGCACAGGGCACACCCCAAATCCAAAAAAAACAAGAAAATTTCAAGTTGCAACTTACCAGGCTGTGTTTTTTCTCTCCTTTTCTGAACAATTCTACAAACTTTGGAAGTGGGACAGCACTCCTAATCTCATTTTTAAAAAGTGGTTTAGATTTAAGGCATAAAATCAATTATATCCAAATTCTTTCCGACTAGTTGTTCACTCTCACTTGTTACCCCAAGAAGGCTTATAAGCAATATTTTTTTAAAAATGGCTTCTAAAAGAATGTCATTTGCTTAATGACAACTAAAAACAGTTAGCTGAGAAAATAAACTTATAATAAGCGACTAAAAATTTTACAAATATATTCTCATGGTATTCATTAACTTTAGTACTCTAGGAAAAAGGTGTAGAAGAAAAAATATGACGTAAAATGTTACCTACTTTCAATTTTTACCTAGCAGTGAATAGAAGTAGTTAACATAATAAATAAAAATGGGCATAATAGTAAGTGCATATTGAATGCTTGCTGAATATCATATATGCCTTGTTTCATTTTAATTCTAACCATCATGGGCAGTAGGTATATCTGGAAATACTTTTTAGAATAAAGCAAGTGATTTATTGTATATCAAGCCAGCATACCCAGTGTTGCTAAGATCCAAATGTTTTTCTTCAGGAAGCTATGGCCATCACCAGATGCTAAAGACAATCTTGCAGGGAATCGTTCTGGTAGAATGGTGATGCTGTCATGATTTTGCAATTTATTCCCACCTACCCAGGATGAATGCTTCTCCCTTGGCTAGGTTCCTCATATGGATTGGCTGAGCATCATCTCTAAGTGTGTAAATGCTTTTCTGTACGAGGAGGAGACTGGTTCGATGCTCTTGGCTGGAAGGGCTGAGCATGAAGCTGTACATAAACAGGAGTTTCCAAATTGTACACAGACTTCCCATGTATAGACTCTAGTTTGATTTTAATCATCAATTCTCTTTTCATTAAATATGCAGGTTTTACATTTAGAGGAACTTTATCATAGTGCTATAGCTCCTGATATATGCAAAATATAACTAAGAATTGGGGAAGAAACCTTCAGTTTCTACCAGTGATATCAGCCCAAGTGGGCCATTCACAGAGAGTAGTAATTCAAGCAATTATTCCAAAAATGATGCATTGTCTTCATTACAGCCTTAAGCTATAAAAGGCAAAGAATCCATTTTGGTAGATGGATGGTTTTTCTTCAAATATTAAGTGCTAAAACATGTTCAAAATTTGGGTTTCTTATTGCTTAAAAAATTTTTAGAAAAAAAGTTATTAAATGAATGCAAAGAAATAAACAGAAATAGATTTAAAACAGGACATAATGCCCATTCCTGTATTATTTTAAAATGTATGTTTTGGAGGGTACAAGTAGGTGAAAGAGAATATTAATAAAAATTAAAACATTAACCTTAATCACAGTGTTTGCTTTTGTGAACATTAACAAACTCAACAGGGAGAAAATGCCATCATCTAAATGCTTAGGTACCATACACAACTTTTATCTGTCATTTTACACTGCAGATAATTTTAGTGTACTTCTTGCATAACAAATATTCACCTAAAGTTATGTGTTAAGATAGAATGCTCTCTTGGAATTAAAAGTTTAGAAATGATGCAATAATTGCTCTGGTATGAATGGTAAAGCAGTATGCTTATCAAAGTGCCCATCCATGGGGGCTGGGGAGTTAGAGCTATAAAAATCACTTGATCTCTATTGTGGAAACTATAAATATAGTTTAAGAAGTTTAATTTCCTTAAAAATTGGGTATAAAAGTAGGGACTTTCTCATTCAACCAGACAAAAACAAAAAACCTAAAAGCATGACTTATAACTGAAAGAAATCACAGCTAATATTAGCTATTCAAGGCCTGGTTAGGTCTTCACTGAGATGTTAAAAAATGACAGCTCCCCTCCTAACGCCTCGATTTTCTGCATGTCTGACAACCAAGTCAGTTTGGCTGATTTAAACACAAACATTTATTGAATTTAATTATCTCATTATACTCATACCCACTTCCCACCCCCAAAGAAACATTCTAAATTGATCTCTAATTGGGCAATCAAAAGACCTGGCTTTAGATGTGACTTTGATAAACCCCCAAATGACACGTAATGGTATGTAGCCACTGCTGCAACGTTTTTTTGCTTACCCATCATATCTTTTGTCTTCTTGAAATGTTTGTACCACCTTCCAAATTCTTGACATTTTGCTGCTGAGACATTTGCATAGTAAGTACTGTTCACAATGGAAGAAATCATACTCTGCATGAAGAAGGGGGGAGAACATTTGTAATACACAGCGGCACAAGATGGAACACAGAAATGATCTCAATTGTGGCAACTGTATTTTTTTTAATCAACTGAGTACCAATACATTTTGGTTTCTCACTTTAGCCTAAAGCTTCGACTTCTTAAAATTCATTAAGTAGATCATCAAATGCTTATTTAAGTAGAAAGCAACAGCCCACTGAGACCAGTATAGAGCTATCAAACCCACAGACTTTGCTTTAGCATTTACTGAATCTCCATCAATGTCATCCATTCCTAAGCTGTCAAACTTCCACTGGTCCCAGTAAATCCAAACACATGAAGATGACTTTATAATTGTGATTCATAAATATATGTGACTTTGTGATTTTTTGACTGGACTCTACATCCTTTCTACTCAAAGTATAGACCAGGGACCAGCAATATGGGCATCACTTGGAAGCTTGTTAGAAATGCAGAATCTTGGGCCCTACCCCAGACCAGTGCACTCGGCACCTGCATTTTACCAAGGTCCCCAGGGGATTCGCATGTATATTAAAATTTGAGAAACAGCACTTGCGCTTTCCAGTCTATTATTTGGATTCAAAGTGGAGGTGCATTAACACTGATCAAAGGTTAACTGATCGTATTTGAGAAGAAACAAACTATTCACAGAGATCCTTTATCAAGAGAAAAACATTCTGCAATCTTATTACTGGCTTCATGAATAGTAAAGCTTAAGTTCTGAATTTCAAACTGATTATAAAAATTTTAAATTTATACATTTCATGCTTCTCAATTTCTCAAGGATACCACAAAACCATGACCTACTGTGACTTTTCTTTATCCTGCTTTTAATAAATGCCCTGAAAACAGTGTCAGCTCTTTAACACACAAAAATGAAGAAAGACATGATTTTAATGTATTACTAAGTAGGGGTTTTTTTAAAAAAAATGAAGAAAAACATGATTTTAATACTAGGAGGATTTTTAAAAAAATCTTTTCCAATCTTCCCAGCAAATTTTGGTTATGTTAATTTCAAGGACTAAATTCATGGTCCATTTTAACCCGTTACCCATATTCTCTAGTAACAGCTAACTTAACTCCCTACCGAGTCTTAGGAGTAAGATTTTGCAGCACCAATCTATCCCTCAACCCTATTTGCAGAAACAGAACTCACATTTTAGACATCAGTTGGTCTATTGTGAAACAGTTTATAGAAGGCAGCACTGTTCAAAAGGCAGTGAGCAACCAGAAAAGCCAGTTTGGGGAAAAAAGTATTTTTACATAATTATCTTCTTTAAGTTACCTCTAATGTAAAGCTCTTTCAGTTATTATTCATTCTCCTGACATCCACCATCAGTGTTAATTCTGTAGCATGCACACATTTCCGGAATATGTAAATTTGGGGGATCTCTAAAGAACTTCCAGTGAAGGATAAGCTGGAGTCGCATTATTTATGTAAAACACAGCTATCTTTCCTAAGAGGCACTGTGATATCTTTTTTTTTTTTTTGACACTTTCTACTTTATAGTCATTTTCACATTTTATATCTCTAAAAAGACATTCTTAATGTGTTCATGATGCTCTGCCATTAATCCAATAGCTTGCAATTTCACTAAGAGCCTCCCACAGTCCACAGTGTAAAAAGACACTTAGCAAAGTTGCCAAAACCAGAGCCAGAAGATTACCTGATCTGTCAGCTTCAATCTCACTTACTCTCTTGTAATAAGGGATCAATAAAGTCAGACACTAATAAAAACTATTGAGATCGCTGATGGATAATAGTGATTCTTCTGCAAATGGATGACAGTTGATGTTCTTCCACTCTGGTCCAATTTTTAAAAAAATTATTACTCTTTATCTAGATATTCTGGCAGTTTCTTAAATGTTAATATAATAATACACATAAGTTTTAGATGTGGTTTATGTTTTACTTTTTAGAAGTGTATAGAATATCCAAATTTTGCTGAGGTTTTTGAAAAACATCCAGTCTACTTCAGTTTGCCAACAGTTCTATATATGAAATTTGCTCTTTGCTGCACACCTACTATATGCCTGGCTGGTACTAAGGATGCAAAGATGGCAGAGGCATCTGCCTACAAAGATGAGGCACCTGTCATCCAAAGATGGCAGACAGCCTCTGCCTACAAGAAGTTTACTATCCATTAAGAACACAGATATGTAAATAGATCATCTCAATTTAATGTGATTTGTATATCAACAGTGGAAAATGTAGGGGATGATGGAAGGAAGAAGAATCCATGGTGTGTGTGTGAAAAAATGTCTTAAATATTATAAAACTAGACCCTATATGTAATAGTGCTATACAGTTTATTATTATCCATACATGGAAAATAATACCCATATATGCATCATCGTCAAAACTTCCCCCTACCCTACTTAACCCTAAATTGGTAGGTTCTGGGCTTAAGTGCTTTTCTGTCACATGGTGTATGCTTAGGAAACTCTGATTAATGTAAATAATAGCGTAAGCAAGACTTAAATCAAAAAGCTAATTCATAACTAATAATGCATGACAAAGCAACTTTTTGGATTCCCTATCTTTCTGTGCTTTTGAGTGACTAGGAAATATTTCCTAATTCAGGCAACTTGGAGTCATGTCTGATTTTATTGGACAATATGAAATAATCTGTCCAATTAGATTGCTCATATAGTCACTTCATGAGGAGGACGTGTGGGCGTGTCTGTGTGTGTGTTTCAGGTGGTAAAATTCCTACTAAAGGCTTAGGCATAGCATTGGAATAGACCAGTCAGCCGGTTTCAATGGCAGGAAAGAGACTGCAGAATTTTGTGGTGCACATGGCATTTGAAAAATCATATTCAATAGTGTAATCTTAAATTTAGAATATCAGGAAAAAAACACCTATTGTTTTGATAACACAAATAAAAGAAAGTCATGATTGGTAATATTTTCCTAGGTGGTGGGACGTACAGATAGTAGGCCAAGTTCCATATCAGAAAGGCTTGGGACTCTTGCGTCACTTAAAAGGAGATACTGGTTTAAAAAGACTGCACTAAGCTGTGAGTTCACACAGGTCTGGGGCACCATATTATTTTCTAGCTCAATGCCTGGCACATAATAAAATAAACACTAAATGTTCATCTGACAAAACAGAATAGAAATAAACACACATTCAAGTGAGGATGTGTCACACACTGGTAGCATGACCTTGGGTCAAACAGTTGACCATTCCATCACAACTTCCCATGCTAAATGGGAATGGTAATAGCATATACCTCATGGAGTTGTTCTGAGAATCCATCCATTCAGGCATTTTAAAAATTCATTTAGCATATACTTATATTCTACCATGTGCCAAGCACTGGGCAACTCGCTAGGAAAATGACTTGAAGAGACATACTATCTGCCCTTGGACAGACAATCAATAACAGATGTGATACAATTAGCACAGAGCCTATAACATATTATGTATAAACTGAAGAGATATTAATTACTATGACAACCCTCTGCCTCCTCCTCATCACTGGACTTTCATTATATGATCACATTTCACATCAGGGGACTATGCTTTAAATATCAATGGAGTATCAGATAAAAGTTTCAAATGATACACAGTATTTTGAGTCTTTTTAATGTAGAATAAAGTATACTGATTAAATTATTAAGTTCTAAGTTGGGTCAAGGAATAGTAAGGGAGAACACCAAAGGGAAATATTTCATTTCTTCTCATACTCCAATTTGGTGGTGTTTTCTGAAGCTGGCCTATATCTGGTAGAAAGCATCAAGAAGCAATACCACTCCTCTGGCTTGGATGCATGACCCATGCCCTCTTCCATCTCTAACTAACAGCTGCTCATCCTTCAGGATACATCCTGGGCATCCTTGCTTCCATGAGGCCTTTCCTAACTTCCCAAACCTCCTGCACTAGAGCACTCATCCTGCTGTTTATTTTGCACTGGACTGTGGGCCTTAGGTCTCATCTCAATACATTCTGGATTCATCAGAGGGCTGGACACAAACTAGGTGATCAATAAAAAGGGTTACTGAAACAAGCCACCAGAAATCCTCTTCCCCTTTGTTCTTCCCCTTAAAGGTCAAAGATAATGGCAGCTTAACTGTGACACGAATCTTTCAAATCCATCGCTTTGGCTGTCGTGATAGAAATCATAGTTTCAAGAACCTTTGTTCACTAATTTGCAAGAGATCCCTTCCCAGGTTTTTCAAAATACATCCACACAGATGTCTCGGAAGTTGCAGTGCTCGGTGGTTATGTTATTCCAGTTCTCTCTCAGTGTCTATTTATATGAGCTATCCAAAGCACTTTGAAAAAGACACAACTTGTATGGCAAGTTTCCTATTCAGTGGCTGGTCTGTATAAAACATCAATGTTCACAGAATAAAATAAACCAACCGACAAAACTCAGTCGGTTGAAATCCCAAGTTCAAATGCTACACGGTGTACCAACCAATAAACAGGCCACAGTTTCCAGTGTTGGGAAATACAATTTCAAAGTCGGCAGAAATTGGCTGTGGGTCTCATAACCCCAGTGTGACACAATATTCTCGTCCTAGGAGCCAAGTTGTAAGCTTTTCTAAGATCCATAAAGCACATGTCTACTCCCTATGAGGAGCTTCGGTTCTTTCTGAGAGTCTGCTGAAGTTCCGATCTGAAAGAATGCCATCTTCACAGAAACCCCAGTACTCTAGAATGATACCATCTGCCACAGGCTGAGCTTCCTTTTCAGCCAAATACATTATTTATAACCTTTCTAATTGTGAAAAGGTAAGGGTGGAATTTTTCTAAAGCCTAACTTAAAGATAGATAGAACATTCTGAACCTTTGCTCTAAAATACTCTAGCTCTTTCAAATTTGAAAAACAAAAACCACAAGGAATCGGTTGAGGTTACATAATTTTTCAAAAAATTATATTCTTTTAAACCCCTGCTACAATATCGTATGTACTGTAGTTATATATTTTTAACACGTTTAAAAAATGAAGGAAGATTGTTTTATTTTTTTACTTGTTCA